TGGCTGGTGTGAGCGGCACGCATCGTGCCTCACACAGGCCGGCTTATGCCCCATGACAACCCCCCTAAAATGAGCTGACCCCTAAGAGCAACTGAACGACGTGTGCCTCAACGAGAACAATAACAAGAACAATAATAACCCCAGCAATAAATACCCCAGCCCACCTATACAAATGTACACTACATACAATAATACATTGCGACCGGAAAGGGGCGGGAGCATGGGGCAATAATACGTGACAGAGGATAACAAGCGCACAAGCTCACTCCCCGCATCCCGACAACCACCGCCACCCACGCTGTGTATCACTCCTCAAAAATGTAATGAAGGCAACAACAACGTCCCGACGAGTGAGACCTCAATAATGGTGTGGGGGTGTGAATCGTGACGTTTTGGAGCCAGTCTGCATTGCCAATCCCCCGGGGGAGGGACTGAGAGGAACCTGCAAGAGTTCCAGAGCGGCTGATTCAGCACCGGGAGCCACCGGCTAGGCGGCGGGGCTTCCAGCGTCCGGAGCCGGAGGAGCAGCAGCTGAAGGGGCATCAATCGCGTGGCATCTGGGGACGAATCAACAGGCCCCTGCTGAGGATACCCTCGGCGGGCACGCCCCTCAACTCGCCGGACACATCACACACCCGGCCCCTGTATTCTGGAGGCGAGATGGAATCGCGCGAGGTGACGAAGGGCTTGAGGCGTGACGGATGGACAAACAAGCACCGGCGGCCCCACCGAATTTGTACACGTTGTGGGCAAACAACACGAACAATGTCGACTGGCCCTCTCCAAGGTTTACCGGCAGCCCCACCGAATTTGTACACGTTGTGGGCAAACAACACGAACAATGTTGACTGGCCCTCTCCAAGGTTTGAATAATTTTGGAGAAGTTCCCACCAGGACCTGAGGGCAATGAAGCCATGCCCTGTCGCCCACAACCCACTCATGGCGCGAAACTTGCCGATTCCGCAGGCGCTCGTGAGCCAACTGGCGTGCATTAGAATGCACCCTGGAAGCCTCGCGTGCTTCAGACAGCCGCTGAATGTTGAAGCGTGCCGCCTCGGAAATTTAGGATTTAGCGAGCAGGGGCGCTATGTGCAGTTGAACGTCGATCAGGGGGTCATGATCCCTGCTGCACATCAGATAGAACGGCGAATAGCTGGTAGAAGCATGAGGAGCCATGCGGTATGCGGCCAGCACACCCGGGACCCGCAAGTCCCAATCAAGCTGGACTCTCTGACCTGATGATTCAGCATTAAGTTGGGGATGGTATGGTGATGTACAAAAATTTTCTTCAAGCCCAATAGTTTGCACACCTCCCGCAGTAATTTGGAGGATAAGTTTTTACCCTGGTCAGTTAATAGACGCTCAGGTGCACCCTTATCCATAACATAGCCCTCCAAAAAGGTGTAAGTGATGGCAGCCGCCGACCGGTTAGGAAGCGGCCAAGCCATAGGCCAGCGTGATAAGTATTCCACCCCCACCAGTAGATATTTTTTACCCCGGGGGGCAGCAAAGCTGCATCCCCAACCATGGGTAGAGAACCATCTGAGGACCCAATCAAAACCATCACCTTATATATCAGGGGTTACCAAAAGGATTTCCAAAATCTTGAACAAACACAAGATTCAAGTTCGGTTCAATACAGTACACAAAATCCGTGATTTGATCCCATCGGTGAAGGATGCGATTCCGGACATGCAATGTCCTGGTGTCTATAAGCTGAGTTGTGTCTGCGGCAGCAGTTACGTTGGTGAAACAAAGCGACGTGTATCAGACCGGGTTCGCGAACACAAAGCGGATTTGAAACATGGCAGAACCAACACCTCGGCGGTGGCGGATCATTGTTTCAACGCTGTGGGCACACGTGACATTGTTTTCTCCAAGACCAAGTTGCTCTGCAAACCCTCGGGCTACCATCAGAGATTTGTTCATGAAGCCATCCAGATATACGGACAAAACTTTAATGGAGAAGATGGATTCAGATTGAGCAATCATTGGAAGGACGTGATACACCACGTCCAGTTTTAACTTCTATGATTATCACTCACCCATGTCGTCTTGGTTTCCGGTTACTAATTCAAGATCATTGCCATGCTAATTTGTCCAACCCCACTCGTCCCTGCACACTACAAACCCTCCCCCCTCTCCCCCTGTGCCAGCCCCCACCCGTCCCTGTGTGGTGCCACGACAGCGAAGCCGCTCCGTGGGAGCCATGCCAGCAGAGAAGCCACCCGGCCTCCGTCACAGCGCTTCCCCCACCACCCCCCACATGAACGCACACATGCACTCACGTAGGGCCTTGTGGGGGGGGGGGGGTCACCTGCCCCTGAGTTTTTACCCGAGGGCCCCCCTAGTGGGGGTGCTCCACGGTTTCTCAGGGCTAGGGAATTGGCAGACCCCCCCCCCCCCCAGGCCGAATGACATTGCGGCGCCGTGGATTAACTTAAAATTGTATGGCCATGGCGAACCCACTGAGAACCGCAATGAGAAAACACCCAAGGCACACACGGATCGGCAGGCAGGTGGGGAGTGGGGCAGAGTAGCGAGCGACAGGAAGGCAAGGGGGAGGGGGGAGGGCCCTCGTCTCCGGCACCACGTGTGCAGAGACCTCGCCGTGGCACAACGTGTGTTGGGGCGGTACAGCAGGACATCCAGTGTGCCGTGCACTTGGTTAAACAATAGGGGGCGGGCGTCGGAGAGGGGACTGACCCGATTGGCCAAGAGCGTTAGCTTTGATGTAAGAGGGTAAAAAGGGACAAAAATCAGGAGCAAAGCCTCTTTTGCCCGGAGTCTGTTGGAGTGAGGGACCGAGGAGTGATCATCCCCTGCTACTCGAACATCTGTGAGATGGGTCGAAGAGCAGCCAGATCCAGTTCCCAGCAAAAGCCACCTGCAGCCTCGTCTTTCCGCGACTTCCAACACCACGAGGTCGGATCATAAGTACGAAGAGAGGTAAGGCAAAGAGGAATATCTAATAGAGAGAGTGAGTAGAGAGAGGTCAGGCTAATTGAGTCTTAGACCGAAGAGAGTTAGGTTAGATCTGCCCTGCTGGTCCACACTGACACAGATAGGTCGGCTTCATTAATCGAGGAATAAATTGCCAGTAGACATTAAACTTTGTCGTGCTGTCTCTGTGAGTACAGAGGGGGGGTGCCTGGTGCGTTGTGGTGTCCTGTGTATTCTGCCCGCGTGGGTACTCTCACCGCTGCGCAGCTCGTGGTTGGCGGGTACGAGAAGGGCACCGCGGTGTATTTGCGAGGCGGTTAGTACAGCTATTTAAATCATGCCACGAGGAGCAGTAGCGAGGGGGAAGAGAAGAGGAGAGCGAGGGGCACAGGAGAACGGGGAGACGGGGGGCAGCCGCCCCAACACCTGCACGCCACAAACCTTCCCCCCCTGAGTAGACTTGCCGATGACTGGTACCAGCGGTATCAAGATCGGCCTCTGTGGAGGAGACTCGTGAAGGACGCTACTGTGCAGTTGGAGGCAGTCGCCCTCCAACAACAACGGAAGGCTGAGGAGCGACGCTCACGAGCGGAGCACCGGGTGGCTAAAGCACAGAAAGTTGGCACAGTAGGGGGCACAGTTGGTGCATCAGCCAGCATCTCGGTCATCTCAGTCAGTCGACCCGTGGCACTTGCGTCTGCCCCGTGACCCCCTGCCAGCGGGCGTTCGACACTTCACGTGGCCTCAAGGTGCACATAGCCTGGCACAAGCGTCGTGGTGACGTCACCGCCACTTAGTGGCGAATGGCGGTTGTTGTTGTTGTCTGTGTGTCTGTGAGTGACTGTGTATATGAATGTGTCTATGAGTGACTGTGTATATCAGTCACTAACACACAAACTCACACTAATACACACACTAATACACGCTCACTAATACATATGCACACACTCACATAAAGCTCACTTATACACACTCACTAATACACAACTAGAGTGGCGTAACTACCCTGGTTGCTGCTAATACTGTGGATGTATGTCATGTGGTGGTTTCACGTGGTTGCCTGGTAGTTTAGGGGGGCCCAGTGGTGTCTAGTTACACCTCTGGTCACGTCACGTGACTTCCCGGCGCTCAGGTCCCGTGACATGCGCGGAGACGCGGGGAGCATGGCTGCACGAAATAGAGAGTCTCAGAGGAACCCTGTCCTGTCCTGACTAGGAGAAGACATCAGGAGATGGTGGATGAAGTACAAATAAAGCATAGAAAAAGTGCAGCTGCATTTTTAAAGAAAAGTTATTAAAAAATGTGCTGGGAGCCTTGGCAGTCCTGGGATGCATTGGTAAGTCTGAGGGTCAGATTGGCAAGTCTGAGGGTCAGATTGGCAAGTCTGGGAATGCATAGATAAATCTGAGGGTCATATTGATAAGTGGGAATGCATTGGTAAGTCTGGGGGTGATGGTTACATACCACGGCAGGTGGAGCGGTACACTTTGGATATACTGACCAATTCTACGTCACTTTACAGAGGTATAGGGACCATAAACTACGATCAAACAGCCCCAAAATGTCCAAGAATAGAAAAGTCGATGCAGAGGGAAGACAATTTAATGAGAGATGGGAAAGCAAATAGATGTTTGTGCTTAATGAAGACAAGCCAGTATGTCTTCTTTGCTACGAGGCAGTGGCAGTGATGAAGGAATACAATTTACGTCGGCACTTTGAGACCAAACACGGAGCCAAGTATGCTAACCTTAACCACCAAGAAAAGCAACAAAAAGTCCAAGAATTAAAAGGCAGCCTGCATTCTCAACAGAATATTTTTGCAAAAATTACAGCAAAAAATGATGCAGCAGTGAAAGCCAGCTTTGTTGTGGCTGAAGAAATCGCCCGAGCTTCAAAGTACTTTCCAGGTGCATTTGTAAAACAGTGCATGCTGAAGGTATGCGAACTGGTGTGGCCTGAGCAGAGACAGGCTTTTAACAATATCAGCTTGTCAAGAAACACTATCGCAGACTGAGTCAGGGAACTAGCGGGTAATCTGACAACACAGCTGGCTGAAGAAGCTCGCAGTTATCTGGCGTTTACATTAGCTGTTGACGAAAGCACTGACAATACTGATACAGCTCATCTAGCCATTTTTGTAAGAGGTGTGAAGGCAGACTTGTCTGTCAGTGAGGAGCTCTTGGATGTGGTCGCCATGCACGGGACATCAACTGGGAGGGACATCTTCAATGCGGTGGAGGAGTCCGTAAGCAAAATAAAATTACCCTGGGAAAAGTTGGTGGGGCTTACTACTGATGGCGCACCTGCAATGTGTGAAGAGAGAACTGGCTGGGTTGGACTGTTGAAAAATAAAATGCAAAAACCACTAAAAACTTACCGTTGCATTATCCACCAAGAAGCTCTGGGTGGCAAAATTCTGGAACTGGATAACATAATGGCCACAGTCACGAAAGCTGTGAACTTCCTTCGTGCACGGGGCCTGAATTATCGTCAGTTCCAACTATTTTTGAAGGAGGTGGACACAGAACATACGGTTGTGCCATACCATACAGTGGTTGAGTAGGAGCACTGTTCAGCGATTTTTTGAGCTTTTGGAAGAAATTGCTCTTTTCATGCAAAGGGAAGCCCTTGCCCGAACTGTCAGATCCAAACTGGCTGTGTGATTTTGCCATCTTGTGTGATATAACAGAGCATCTCGCCCAACTCAATCAGAGGTTGCAGGGCCGCCAACAAGTCATAACGGCAATGAACGACACAATCACAGCTTTTCAGGAGAAACTGCGCTTATGGAAGTCCCAGCTTGAACAAGACAGTCTTGCCCACTTTCCTCTGTCAGAGCATCTCAGCCTCATTCCCGGGTGCTTTTTCATGTGCTCGATTGGCTACCAAAGTGAATCGGCTGATTAATGAATTCGATCGGTGCTTCTCAGACTTTTAAGAACAGCATTTAATCTTTACCAACTTTGCCAATCCTTTCACTATTGATGTTGACAGTGGACCACATCACCTTCAGATGGAATTAATATAACTTTAGTGCAACAGTAGCCTGAGAGCAAAGTTCCAGGATACTGTAGTCGAGGACTTGTACCGTCTCATCCCCCCCTGCTTTGATGCCACAGCTCAGACTTCAAGCCGCCCGTGTTCTGTCCATGTTTGGAAGCAGCTACCTATGCGAACAGATGTTTTCAGTTATGAATCTGAACAAGACCTAGCACAGATCACACACCACCGATGACAACCTCCACGCTGTTTTACGGATTGCTACTGCACAAGACCTAAAGTCAGACATTGACGGACTGACCTCAGGAAAACGGTATCCGCTATCCAACCAGAAAACAAACAAGCATTTTTTTTTTAAAACACAGGTATATTCAATATCACGAAATATATTTCAATCAAGAATATGTACACTGTAACAATATTTGCATTCTAATGATCACTTTCATTGTGTTTGTTTTGTGTTTGTCATATGCAGAAATTGATTAATGGATGAGGAAGGTGTTTGATATGGTGTCTCAAAGTGAGGTGGGATCTACTTGATATGTACAGGGCCAGACATCACCTTATCAACTTCATATGCTACAGATTGCACATTAGATCAGAGCACAATTATTTGTTTTGTCATAGTTCTGCCTGTCTCAACTGGGACCAGTTGTACACTTGAACATCTTTAAAGGTGTATTGAACATTTTTGATACTGCGACTGATACTCCTGCTGTTATGGAGTGACTCATGCAGCCAGCTATGGCTGCAAAGTTTGGTTGTATATGTTATGCATATCGTTTATTGTTAAATTTGAATCAGTTCCCATGACCACTGTTAAATAGTTTTTTTAGCTTTATTTTGGTGATTTTGAAAACGTTTTGGTTTCGCCATGTTTGTTTGTTGGAGTACAGAGTTAGCTCGATAACTTTAATCTAAATTGCATTATGGTTGTTATTGTTTGACTTGCATCCCACCGGGATTTTTTCACAGTGTTGATAAACGGTGTTTTTTCTGGAAGACTTTGCTGTTTTTTCCTGTATTTTTCTGTTGCGTGTAGTCACTTTAAGATGTTCCTTGTTCATGTTTTTGTTTGTTGCGGTTGCACCCGAGTCAAGAGCCGCATGGCTCACAGGGTTATACCTAATAAATGAAACTGAAAACTGAAATGAAAAAAATTAATATCTGCTTGCATTATTTTTCCTAGACTTCTACTTTCAGAGTTAGTTATTACTTAAGTTATTACTAAAACCAGTAATAATCAAATGCAGAGGCAATTATTTAATATGATAAAGAGTAGACACATTTATATAGTCTTACAGATACAACCAGCCCTTTGAGGGCACCCATAATCATGATGCGGCCCAAGTTTAAATTGAGTTCGACACCCCTGGCGTAGCGGGAGACAAGGTTTCTAAGGGGGGCACCTTCTTTCTTAACACCTTCACAGGTTCACAGGTTCGCCATTGCACTCTCCCAAGTCGTCTAGCCTAGCTTATACACAACCCTGACCATGTAACACCGATGACGCTGACCGAGACAGCCAACAACTATCCGGGCGCGCAATATCCAGCGAAGACTGCAGCGACGAAGGCGGCGAAGATGACAGCGATGACGAGACGAGCCCACTCCCAGAACCGGCAGCCCTGAGCTCCCACTCTGCTACTTTGATGCAATCCAGCACGGCCTGGCTCCGCCCTGGCCGCACCTCCCTTGTTGAACCCACTAGCAGGTTCCAGGAGCTTCCAAATGGGGTCTTCAGTCAACCTTGCCCCAGTTCCTAAGCCCTGCCGACACACCCGTGTATATGCTCACTGGCGTGTGTCCTATTTGTCCACCGCAGTTGCCATTGCTGGACAACAGTCGCATTATTACACTACACGAGTACAGCACACCCATGTGTTGGAGAACAAATCGCGCAGTGGCGGATTTCACTAAACATTTATATTTAGAGCGATCGAACCCAAAAAAAAACCTCTATTATGGGCAATTAAGCAAAATATGAATGCAAACATTATTATCGTAACATAGTGAATGCTTGGGAGCTTATTGGCTCTCACTCCTGGTTAGACATCTACCCAACCCACAGGTCCACAAATACTGGCCGCTCTTACTCTGCAGGTTGAACCTAGGAATTGAGTGTTCAACTTTACATTATTTCATTAAAGGAATGTGACAAAGGTGAATCTATTGGAGCTTAATTGTCTCAAGCTTACACATCTACCAGGTCTCTATTTGACTTTGTATTGTCTAAAAAGTCCACCCACACCTCCACTTCCACGAACTGCTGGGAGTTGCCTCGCTCTGCCTCACAGTCAGAAATCTCCTCCTGCTTCACGTTGCATCCATCGATGTGAAGGTCTGATTTTGGAGTTGAAATTTCATCTTCACATTTTACCTTCACTTCTTCACTCTCCACTATCACTTCTTCAAATTTCACCTTCACCTCTTCATATTTCACCTTGATGCCTTTTAAAGTGTCCAAGCTGGGATTTTCTCGTGGTTCTTTTATCATTAAGGATGGGCACATTGCAGCACTTTGACTTTCACAAGCCGATTTCAGACTCCGCTCCTTGGGGATCTTCTGATGACTGTGTGTTCTCTGGTGTCTTTGAAGATTTGATGAATCTGAAAATGCATTCCCACACACACTGCACTTGAAGGGTCTCTCTCCTGTGTGTGTTCTCTGGTGGCTCTGAAGAACTGATGACTGTACAAACGCCTTCTCACACAGAGTGCACTTGAAGGGTTTCTCTCCTGTGTGTGTTCTCTGGTGTATTTTAAGAGTAAATGCCTTTGAAAATGACTTCCCACAAACACTGCACTTGAAAGGTTTCTCTCCCGTGTGTGTTCTCTGGTGGGTCTGAAGACTTGATGACTGTGCAAATGCCTTCTCACACACAGTGCATTTAAATGGTTTCTCTCCTGTATGTGTTCTCTGGTGTCTTTTAAGATGTGAGGACTTTGTAAACACTTTATCGCACACAGTGCACCTTAAGGATTTCTCTCCTGTGTGTGTTTTCTGGTGTCGTTTAAGAGTACATGCCTTTGAAAATGCCTTCCCACAGACAATGCACTTGAAAGGTTTCTCTCCTGTGTGTGTTCTCTGGTGTTCTTTAAGAGATGATGACACTGTAAACGGCTTCCCGCACAGAGTGCACCTGAAGGGTTTCTCTCCTGTGTGTGTTCTCTGGTGTCTTTTAAGATGTGATGAATCTGAAAATGCATTCCCACACACACTGCACTTGAAGGGTTTTTCTCCCGTGTGTGTTCTCTGGTGTAATTTAAGATGTGATGAATCTGAAAATGCGTTCCCACATACACTGCACTTGAAGGGTTTCTCTCCCGTGTGTGTTCTCTGGTGGGTCTGAAGACCTGATGACTGTACAAATGCCTTCTCACACACAGTGCACTTGAAAGGTTTCTCTTCTGTGTGTGTTCTCTGATGTCTTTTAAGTTGTGAGGACTTTGGAAACGCTTTATCGCACACACTGCACTTGAAGGGAATCTCCCCTGTGTGAGTTCTCTGGTGCTTTGTCAAATTTCCAGTACAATCCGTGCTGTTTGCATACTGGTCGAATTGTTTCCTTTCTGTACCGAGCTGCGCTGAGTGCCTTTGCTCCATCAGACCAATTCTGCAGAGGAAGCGTCAGAGGAAGTGTCAGAGGAAGCGTCAGCTGCAGACAGAAAAACATATCCACACCATCTACGTCAGTATCGAGGCACAAGGGAATGAATATATACACAGTCACACATGACTTACACGTCTATACTAATTCATATACTAGCGGGAAGTACCCGGCGTTGCCCGGGCAAAAAAGACACACACATCGACCCACACACATACATACATAGACTCACACACACATCGACATACACGCACACACATATGGACTTACACATACACACACATATTGACTAACAAACACATTGACTTACACACACAGACATCAACTTACACACACACACATTGTAACTTTTAGAGCAGGTTGGCAGCAAATGGGTAACTCTGGCACAAAACAAATAACGCCATCAGAGTGATATATTGTGGAGCCAGGGCGTGTTGTTGGTCATTTCCTTCGGTGACGTAGATGCGTTGACCTTTTGGAGTTGAATTGGCAAATGGACGACTGTGGGGGAACACTCATGGGGGAGGCAAGAATTATCAAAATGGCCTAATTGCTGCTGATGTATCTTCCTGGGACAAAAAGTGTAACCTCATCGACACTTCGCCGCTCTTTTTGAAAGGCAAAGACAGCCATGTCAGAGCCTTTGTTGACGTATTCGCAAACATTTGATGGCTTGCACAGAATTGCAGAATTCCACATGAATGTGGGGCTCGAAAATCTTGCACAGAAGAGGACAGTAGGGAATGACGCACTGGTTGTCAACCTTTATGTCAGAGTTAGTGGCAGGTCTGAGCGGTGTTTAAAATCCACCATGCTCAGTATTTCTGCGACGATATGGAGGATAGGCATCATGGCCTGACTGAGTGTCTTTCAATAAGATGCGTGGATACTTCTTGGTACATCTGCGGTCTTGCATACATGGCGAAATAGGACTGAACTGCCCACATGGGCCATGGACCATTTGCTTGCAGACCACATCAAATAGGGCAGGATCTTGATGGAGGTCAGGTATCTCAGCACTGACAATTGTGTCAATGTCACTTGCATGAATTATTTCCGTCATCAATAGCAAAATGTGAGAATGAGGAAGAGCACGTTTTTGCCACTCAATGGTGTGCAAGTTACATCTTGTCTTTCCAAAGACACCGCCTTCCTTAGTCGGAATAAGCCTCATGAGTTAATCAACTTTGAGTTTGAAGACCCTTGCAATGATGTTAGGTGTGTCTGTTGCCTTATGGTTTGGAGAAAGCATAACCTGGATCTCCTTCCATTTAGGATTGCAAGTGAAGGTGATAAAAAGATGGGGCCTGCAATATTGCCTGAAGTGCTTCATGGCATCCTGAGTCTTCTCATGCATGTATCTTGGTCCACCTGTGAAGGATAAAGGCAAAATAACTAATCTGCCCACATTCTGAGCGTTTGCAAGTATGTCAGCATTGATAGTGTCCCTGGGATGAGTATATTAAGTTGCATGTAAAGAAATCGCTCACTCTCGATTTTGGCATCTCATGGACAACATACAGTGAGGGAAAAAAGTATTTGATCCCCTGCTGATTTTGTACGTTTGCCCACTGACAAAGAAATTATCAGTCTATAATTTAATGGCAGGTTTATTTGAACAGTGAGAGACAGAATAACAACAAAATCCAGAAAAATGCATTTCAAAAATGTTATAAATTGATCTGCATTTTAATGAGGGAGATAAGTATTTAACCCCCTCTCAATCAGAAAGATTTCCGGCTCCCAGGTGTCTTTTATACAGGTAACGAGCTGAGATTAGGAGCACACTCTTAAAGGGAGTGCTCCTAATCTCAGCTTGTTACCTGTATAAAAGACACCTGTCCACAGAAGCAATCAATCAATCAGATTCCAAACTCTCCACCATGGCCAAGACCAAAGAGCTCTCCAAGGATGTCAGGGACAAGATTGTAGACCTACACAAGGCTGGAATGGGCTACAAGACCATTGCCAAGAAGCTTGGTGAGAAGGTGACAACAGTTGGTGCGATTATTCGCAAATGGAAGAAACACAAAAGAACTGTCAATCTCCCTCGGCCTGGGGCTCCATGCAAGATCTCACCTCGTGGAGTTGCAATGATCATGAGAACGGTGAGGAATCAGCCCAGAACTACACGGGAGGATCCTGTTAATGATCTCAAGGCAGCTGGGACCATAGTCACCAAGAAAACAATTGGTAACATACTACGCCGTGAAGGACTGAAATCCTGCAGCGCCCGCAAGGTCCCCCTGCTGAAGAAAGCACATATACATGTCCGTCTGAAGTTTGCCAATGAACATCTGAATGATTCAGAGGATAACTGGGTGAAAGTGTTGTGGTCAGATGAGACCAAAATGGAGCTCTTTGGCATCAACTCAACTCGCCGTGTTTGGAGGAGGAGGAATGCTGCCTATGACCTCAAGAACACCATCCCCACCGTCAAACATGGAGGTGGAAACATTATGCTTTGGGGGTGTTTTTCTGCTAAGGGGATACGACAACTTCACCGCATCAAAGGGACGATGGACGGGGCCATGTACCGTCAAATCTTGGGTGAGAACCTCCGTCCCTCAGCCAGGGCATTGAAAATGGGTCGTGGATGGGTATTCCAGCATGACAATGACCCAAAACACACGGCCAAGGCAACAAAGGAGTAGCTCAAGAAGAAGCACATTAAGGTCCTGGAGTGGCCTAGCCAGTCTCCAGACCTTAATCCCATAGAAGATCTGTGGAGGGAGCTGAAGGTTCGAGTTGCCAAACGTCAGCCTCGAAACCTTTATGACTTGGAGAAGATCTGCAAAGAGGAGTGGGACAAAATCCCTCCTGAGATGTGTGCAAACCTGGTGGCCAACTACAAGAAACGTCTGACCTCTGTGATTGCCAACAAGGGTTTTGCCACCAAGTACTAAGTCATGTTTTGCAGAGGGGTCAAATACTTATTTCCCTTATTAAAATGAAAATCAATTTATAACATTTTTGACATGCGTTTTTCTGGATTTTTGTTGTTATTCTGTCTCTCACTGTTCAAATAAACCTACCATTAAAATTATAGACTGGTCATTTCTTTGTCAGTGGGCAAACGTACAAAATCAGCAGGGGATCAAATACTTTTTTCCCTCACTGTACTTAGTTGAAGTGGTTGACGCACCGTAATGTGGTTTCCTCCTTCTGTGTCCATGATCATGAAGGAATATAAGACTTCAGAGGAGACAGTTTTGTGAGGATGTCTTTGTCATGTAGCTGTGATAATTTGAGGAATCTGGACGTGGTACTCATCTTGGACTTGTCACAGTATAATGGGGTATTGTAGGGCATCATATGCTCTGCTTGTGTCAGGAAATCGTTTGATGGTGTTGTCTTGGTATCGAAGCACAACGTCTCATACCGATTGTGATGGTACCTGCTATGATTCAAGCAGTGCATACTGTGGTGGTAGCTGGTTTCACTACAGCAGTGCATACTGAGTGTGGTGTTACCTGCTATTTACAGCAGTGCATACTGTGTTGGTACCTGCTATGATTACAGCACAGCATACTGACTATGCTGGTACCTGCTATGATAACAGCAGTGCATACTGACAATGGTGGTACCTGCTATGATTACAGCAGTGCAGGCTGTGGTGGGACCTGCTTTCAGTACAGCAGTGCATGCTGTGGTGGGACCTGCGTTCAGTACAGCAGTGCATACTGACTGTGGTGGTACCTGCTATGATTACAGCAGTGCATACCAACTGTGGTGGTGCCTGCTATGATTACAGCAGTGCATACTGTGGTGGGTACCTCATATGATTACAGCAGTGCATACCGACTGTAGTGGTACCTGCTATCACTACAGTAGTACATGGTGACTCCATAGCAGTATTTATCGACTGTATAGCATAAAGTACTCACCTGACAGTGGCGTGGTGAGGCCTAGTCCCGTGCAGAGCCTCAGGCCTCGCCTAGATTGCCCAGCCGGCCGAGGTGGCACCATGGCAGGCTGGGACTGGGCTGCTACCCCTGAACCCCCCCCCCCTCCGAGCCACGATCTTCCCCGCCCGCTCTGCAGTCATATCTACGGCCTATAGTGGTAGCATCTACCGACTGTATAGTAGTAACTGCACGCATCGGGGTGGGGGGGAACATCACACTGTGGACATTTTACCTCGGCGTTGTGGATTTTTATAGCACTTTTAACGCAAAAGAAAATGCCCCCCCTCACTCACACCGAAGGCGTGCGACTTGGTATGGGCCGTGCCCCCCACCAAAGGCGCGTGAGTCGGTATGGTCGAGCACTCGTCATAAATAAAGAAATAAAGAGAAAGCACACAAAAAAGCACGCTAAATCCCTAATTCAACTAATTCAAAGTTGACAGATGGGAAAAACGAATAGTGCTTGCTCACCGCGGGGCTGACGGCGTGGTACCTGGCAATTATTTTTTACATGAACCCCACCGTTTGCAAGCCAAATCCCTCGCAAGTGCGCGTCCACATACACAGACAGACAAAAAAATGCCTTTTTATATATAAGATTCATGTTAGTGAAAAAGATTCCCCAATTCATCACATGGGCTGTTAAGGCACACAATGAGAAGGCAAATTTTTCAAAAATATATGCCTGGATTCCCTAGTATCCTAATAATGAATGTTTACCCGAAACTCCGAGCACACAATTTCGGCTGTCTAGTTACGAAGATAATATTTAGTTAAGAAAAATTAAGCTAACATAAGAAAGGGGTGTTGAAAATTATGCAGAAATGAATAAATTAATGTTCAATCGAAACTTGGGTGTGAAGCCAGGCTCAGATTTGCTTGAATGCTCGAATAAATAGATCTAACTTAAGCTGGATATGTGCCGAGATATTTTCCTGTTTCCATTCTTCTAGTTTATTTTAGTGTTCCAGAGAAAAACTAAAATAAACTATTGTTTTCATTTAACCTCCACATTCAATCTAACCTATAAAAGGCATTTTTTGTCTGTCTGTCCGTCTGTCTGTCTGCGTACGCTCGCGTGCGAAGGATTTGGCGCTCGGACCGTGGGGTTCACCTGGAAAAAATTTTGCCGGGCGGCACGCCTGAGGCCCCGCGGTAGGAATAGGCTATTTCGTTTTCCCATCCCTAAACTTTAAAGTGGTTTAATGAACGATTTAGTGCGATTCCTCTTTATTTATTTATGCCGACCGGCTCGCTGCTGCGCATGCGCGAAACGCCGACACGAGTTGCCCCTGGCAACGCACAGACGCCGTCGCCGGAGGGTGGGGACCATTTCTCATTCGCGTTTAAAATGCTGTAGTTGTAGCAGGATACCACCACAGTCAGCATGCAATGCTGTAGTCATAGCAGGATACCACCACAGTCAGTAAGCAATACTGCAGTCATAGCAGGATACCACCACAGTCAGCATGCAATGCTGTAGTCATAGCAGGATACCACCACGGTCAGCATGCAATGCTGTAGTCATAGCAGGATACCACCACAGTCAGCATGCAATGCTGTAGTCATAGCAGGATACCACCAGTCAGCATGCAATGCTGTAGTGAGATTAGGATACCACCACAGTCAGCATGCAATGCTGTAGTCATAGCAGGATATCACCAGTCAGCATGCAATGCGTAGTCATAGCAGGATACCACCACAGTCAGCATGCACTGCTGTAGTCAAAGCAGGATACCACCACAGTTATTATGCAATGCTGTAGTCATAGCAGGTACCACCAGTCACTATGCACTGCTGTAATCATAGCAGGTACCACCACAGCCAGTATGCACTGCTGTAATCATAGTCAGTACCACCACAGTCATAATGCACTGATGTCATCATAGCAGGTACCACCACGGTCAGTATGCACTGCTGTAGTGAAAGCAGGTACCACCGCAGTCAGTATGCACTGCTGTAATCATAGCAGGTATGACCACAGTCAGTATCCACTGTTGTAATCATAGCAGGTACCACCACAGTCAGTATGCACTGTAGTAATAGCAGGTACCACCACAGTCAGTATGCACTGTTGTAGTGAAAGCAGGAACCACCACAGTATGCACTGCTGTAATCATAGCAGGTCCCACCACAGTCAGTATGCACTGCTGTAGTGAAAGCAGGAACCACCACAGTATGCACTGCTGTAATCATAGCAGGTCCCACCACAGTCACTATGCACTGCTGTAGTGAAAGCAGGTACCAAAGTCCATATGCACTGCAGTAGCTAAAGCAGGTACCATCACTGTATGCACTGCTGTAATCATACCAGGTCCCAGCACATTCAGTATGCTCTGCTGTTGTTGAACCATGTACCACCACAGCATGCACTGCTGTTATCATAGCAGCTACCACCACTGTCACTATGCACTGCCTTTGTGATATTAGGTTACAACACAGTCACTAGTCACTACTGTAGTG